CCACAACGACCACACAAACAAACACACACACACAACACACACACACGCACACACCTAACACACATAATACGCAGAACACACACGACCCACACATAACTCGCACATAGCGAACAGAGCACACAACAAGCACATGCCACATAGGACACACAACATAACCCATATACACCACACACACGTACACTGCACAGGTGTTAGTATGAGCCTCGGCACGCATGTATCACTTTTATTTTTCACACACACACACATATATACACAAGACTGCAGTAGCGCTTCGCGCCATGCATCTTGGTCCTGGAAGTTTGGTATGCAGGCGGACTGGCAGGAAGGTCAAGCCGACAATTTAGCGATCACTCCTTTTCTGGCATCGCCGCTATAACAATGTTATTCGTTATCCTTCCTCCATGTTTCCTTCTGGAGGCCTCCTGGGCGTGTTCTGAGGGCCTCTGGGGGCTTCCTCGGGCCACCCTGCCTCCAACCGCGGTCTCCCTGGACGACCGGGTCACGATTTGGAATGCTTCGGAGGGCGTCTTGGGGCCATCTTGGGCCGCCGTAGGGCTCTCTGAGGGCCATCTTGGACCCCTGTTGTGCCGTTTTGGGGCTCTTTTGGACTGCCTGGAAGCCCTTTCGGATGGTTATGGGGCGATTTTGGAGCCTCCCAGGCGGCTTCGGACGCCCAGAAGACCGCCGTCTTGGAGCGTCGGAAAGCCGAAAAGAGGAGAACCCCAAAATAAAACAAAAACCAACAAAGTCAATGATTTTTGCCTCTTGGGGCCTTCTTGGGAGTGCTCTTGGAGGCCTCTTGGGGCGTTTCGGGAAGATCTTTGGGGGTATGACAGCTTCTTCGGGGTCGTCGTTGACCGTATTGGGGCTCTCCTTGAACGGATCCTCTTTCTGCCACAGTTTATCATAATTTATGAAATAACATAAAAATACATAGTGTTATCACTATTATATAGAATATTAAATCGAAATATATAGAATATTCTATATAATTCTATAGAATAGTGCTACAATGCTACAACATTAGAATTTCATAATGAGAAAAACAATTTTTGTTCAACCAAAGCCAAATGTTTGTCAAGTCCAAAACATGTTGCTAGCTGGATGAAAGCATGTTGAGAAGCGGGTTTCATTTTTCAGATATGATTTTGTGACATGCGGAACTCTGTTTTTCATTTCTCAAAGTTGTTGGGTCGAGACGTGTAGACTCTGATTTGCAAACGTCAAACAACGCATAGTTCGAACTTTTGTTCGGAAAATAACTGTTTGGCCGATGTTGAATTGATTTCGCATGGTTTTGAAACGCTGCCGAACGGCTTTATGAACTCATTTTAGGCGTGTCGTTTGTAATACTTTCCAGCCATGCATCGCCAACCGGTTAAACGAGCATTGCTCAGGTCCAGGACGTTGCATCACCAATCGGTTAAACGAGCATTGCTCAGGTCCAGGACGTTGGTCCATGAGGACGTTGGTCGCGCGCGGTCCATGAGGACGTTGGTCCATGAGGACGTTGGTGACGTGCGGTCCATGTGGACGTTGGTCGCGCGCGGTCCATGAGGACGTTGGTCCATGGACGTTGGTCGCGTGCGGTCCACGAGGACGTTGGTCCACTCATGAGGATGTTGGTCGCAGCCATTTGGCTCGAGGAGGTGCGCCCTCCTCGCGCGCGTGCCGCCCACGCGCGCGCGAAGCGCTGGTCATGCATGGACCGACAGCGAGAGCGGGAGCAGAAGCTCAGGCGCTTGGATGCATTCAAGCGGAGGGTTCCTCGCACGCCGGCCTCCGCGCTGAGCGCCATCCTGGAAGAGTGCGTCTATGACGTGCCAGAGGTCAGGAACCGCAGCGCCATTAGGGAGGCGCGGGGCCTCATCATGCGCGGCAGCGGCGAGTGCGGAGCGTTGCTCGCGAAGCTGCCCGTGGAGCGCGGCGACGGCTCGTCGGGGGGCGAGACGACGGTGGTGAACCCGTTCGCTTTCCTCAACGAGGCGCGCGCTGCGGGCGGCGGCTTCGCGAAGGCCATGCAGCGCGCCATTGCGTCGCGGCCTCCATCCATGGACGAGCCGTGGGACCTCGTGGTCTATGCCGACGAAGTTGTCCCAGGCAACCAGCTGTCAGGCCACAGCCAGCGCAAGTGCTGGGTTGCGCACATGTCCTGCATGCATTTCGGGCCGCTTCTGACGGACGAAGACGCGTGGATATGCCTTGCGCGTGAGCGGTCTGATAGCGTGAAGAACAACGACGGTGGCGTCGCGCAGGTCTTCGGAGCTTTGCTCAAGATGCTGTTCAACGCCAGTGGCCACAGTTTCGGCGCGGGAGTAGTTCTGAATTATTGACGTTTCGCGTCCCTCCACCATCCCATATATGCACCATGTGCTCCTTCTCTGGGCCGTCGGGCCTTAGTGACAGGCGGGCGCGCGGCACTCCGCCCGCGAAGGAGGAGGAGGGGGGGGGGAGGAGGAGGGGGAGGAGGGGGCATAAGGAGAAGGGGGGGATGAGGAGGAGGAGGAGGAGGAGGTGGAGGAGGAGGAGAAGGAGGAGGAGAGGAGGGGAGAGGAGGATGAGGACGGGGAGGAGGGGGCGGAGAGGGCTCTGACGCCTCGGACGCATCGGCATCGGAGCATAGCTCTTTTGGACACTCGAGGCCATCCTGGACAATCTGGGACCATCTTGGAAGCCCTCTCGGAGCCGTCTTGGGCCATCTTGGACACTTGGATGCCTTCTCGGAGCCGAGGCCATCTTGGACCATCTGACACCACGCGGGGCGCCCTGACCAGGTCCATAAGGGGACGGGGGAACCACTCCCAGATGGAGAGAGGGAGAGAGTCAGCTCGCTAAACCGCTAAACCGCCGAAGCCCAGCGGGCTCGAGGGATTTCCCAGATGGCTCGAGCACGCGGCCCTTCGCGAAGCTCACCATGATATTGCAGGATGGCGGTGCTCACAAGCAGGTCTTCTGCGTGAAGGGCGATGCTGGACTGGGGGCGCCCGTTCTCTGCAAGAACCTGTATTCGCAGAGCAGCGGGATCGCTGGCGAGGACGGGGAGGACATGTTGTCGCGCACCATCACCGTCGGCTCCGCCATGGACTTCGCGACGGGCGAGGAGCTGCGAGGCAGCGTCGAGAGGTTGGCGGTCGTCGCTGCGACAAGGCCGCGGGAGCTCAAGCTTCGAGAGATGGCTGCAGGCATGAACCACTGCAGGTTCAACCTGCTTCTGGAGAGGGGCTTGCGCAACGTCGTTAAGCCCGTGAGCTGTTTCGCGCACGATTGGATGCACACGTTCGTCGTGCACGGCGCGTGGAACACGACGCTGTACCTTCTGGTGAAGAGCTTGCTGGATCAGCAGGTGCGCGCCCCTGCTGCGATCCACGACCTGCTACGACAGTGGAATATTCCACAAAGGATGGGCACGAAGACTGGCGCCCTCGTCGACGTCTTCTCGCCGTCCAGGCGGAAAGCGCGCCTCGAGGCCAAGTGCGTGAAGTGCACTGCGTCGGAAGCGATTTCTATGCACAGCATGATCGCGCACTTCGTGCGGAACGTGTGGCTGAGGGCAGGTATTTGCACCAAGGAGTGCGAGGCGTACCTTGCGTACTCGTCCATCATGGACCTCTTGATTGCCGTGTCGCACGGCAAGGTGACATCGCGGGAGCTCAGGGTCCAGGTGGGCAAGTTCTTGCAGGCGTGCTTGGGCGCAGGGTGGGGCGCGTATCTGCACCCGAAGTTCCACTGGACATTGCACCTGGTAATCGAGCACAAGAGGTTTGGCGCTCTGTTAGCGTGCTGGACGCACGAGAGGAAGCACAAGATGGTCAAAAGGTTCTCGGGTGATTACGACATCAGCCGCGCAGCTCCGCTAATATGTGGCGCATGCGCCATGTATTGGCGGACCGCGATGCAGCGATCGGCCAATGCCATATTTGCCCCAGGTTTTCGGAGGGCATGCGCAACGCAGCTTCCATGGAGAAGAGCGGACTGCCCGAGGTGACGTGCAAGCACTTGCACGATCTGCGCGTGCACGACAAATTCGATGTCAGCGTCAAGCTGCAGGGCCCGAAGTCAGCCGAGGATAAGGTGGCAGAATTCATAGTCTCCGAGCTGGGTACCCCACGGGCTCGGAAGAACACGCGCATGACTGCGAAGTCTGCCAGGGTGTCCGAGTTCGAGGTCGTTCGCACCAATGGTGTAGTAATAATGACGCCCGAACGAGGGGCCCCTGTGCTAGGGCAGGTTTGGTTCACGGCCTCAGTGGTCGACGAGCTGTGCGCCCTGGTTGCGAATTTTCCCGTAACCGATGCAGGCAATGGCTTCGCATCGGGGCGCCCTTCAGGATCAACGTGCTTATGCCCGTTGTCAGACATCCTGGGGGCGGTGCCGTAGAGGAAGCGCACGGGCGGGCACGTGGATGCCCTCGTGCCCGTGGCGCACCGCTGGGCTATCTGACCCCGTGGGGCGGGATCAAAAAGTGCACGGCATCCTCATCAGCGTCAGCGTCCTCTCCTCCCCTCCCCCTCCCTTGAGCGGAGCTCAATCTCGAGCGGAGCTCAATCTTGAGCGCGGGGCTCCATCTTGAGCGGAGCTCCGTCCTGATCGGGACTCTATCTTGAGCGGAGCTCCATCTTGAGCGAAGCTCCATCAACTGAGCGCGATGACTCGTCACCTTCGGTGTTCTTTTTGAATCTGCTTTTTCAAGGCAGATCCACGCGGCTTCACCCGCTTGCATCGGCCCTAACTGAACGAAGGGAACTGTACACGAGCCAGCACTTACGCTATAGACAACAAGATCCCGCTGCTCATCCATGGATGCAGGCCGCGATACGACGAAGCGCTGCAACGCTGGCGCCTGTCACGCCCAGCTCATCGGCACAACGACTTCGCGCAGTTCCAATACATGAACGAGCGCGCAAGGTACGCTTTGCATTCCTTGACGCATATGCGCGCGACCATGCTGTGCATAGACCGCCTCAGTGCACTTCACGCACCTGGCCTTAAGGCGCTCGGCCTCAGTAGCCGTTTGAAATCTTCGCCATGGTGGGCTGCTCGTCGCGCGCCGTGTAGCCAATGTAGACATTGGGCAAGGTCAAACGACACCAGACGCCATCGAGGCTCTCGAAAGCAGTGGTGAGCTTCGGCAGAACGCCCAGCTTCGTGGGCGTCGTCTGCGTCGACGCGTGCGTCATCTTCGTCGGCGGCACACGCGTGCCGATGTGCTTCTTCATAGCCATGGTCAGCTTCGTCTCGGACGCTGACGACCGACCACCAAGGTGCTCCTTCCGCTTACGCAGCGTGCTCTTCATGACCCTGTACGTCGCAACTGCAGCTTGGAACTGGGCCTTGCATGCCGTCAGCATGCACTTGTCGTGGGCAGGCATGTTACGTACTGCTCGCTTCGGCGCCATTGTCGTGCACGGGCGTCAGCGGGTTCGGTAGATGATGCTGCAGCCGCCTGCAGCGGATGCCAGGAAGGCCCGAGCCAAAGTGGCTACATACAAAAACATGTGCGTCCACATGAGGACTTGACCGAGGCGCATTGTCTGAAGGACTGCATAGTCATAGAGTCGTGTCCGCGTGGGCTTGGCCGAAATGGCTAAATTGACTCAGAGTCGTGTTTCCCAAAGGACGCGTGTCCATTCAGGACGTGACAGGCGCGCTCATTCGCTCATTTTCGGTGGCCATGAGGTCGAGATGCCCTCCGCGGCCACCCCAAAAACTCTGAGCCCGCGCGAGCGCGGGCCCGAAAGCGGTCCTCAGCCCATGTGCTTGGACCAGAGCGCCGCCGCGTCCCTGTAGACCTTCTGCATGGTCGCCTTCAGGTCGAGCTCGCTGATGCCAGGGAACTGCTCCTTCGCCCTTTTCGTGGCCCTGCCGTAGTGCCTCGACGCGAAGGCGTTCTTGGTGCTCTTCTTGCCGGCCTTCTCCCACTTGATCGTGTACTTGATCGTCTTCGCCTCGCCCTGCAGGGCCGCTGCAGCGGGCCTTTTTCTTCGCGGCTGGTGCAGCACCTGTCTTGGTGGCAGCAGCTGCTGGCTTCCTCATCCTGAGGCGAGTGAATGCCTCTTCCTCGTGCTGCTCTAAGGTCTGCTCGCCAGTGCCCTCGGCCTCCTCCCAGCCAGCTTCCTCATCTGCTGCTGTATCTTCGTCTTCTGCTGCTGCAGGTGCGACTGCTGCTGCTGCTGCTGGTGGTGGTGCTGCTGCAGCGGGGGCTGCTGCTGCCGATGCGGCTGGCCCGTTGTCGATCGCCAGCCTTTGCTTGAAGTGAGCCTTGCTGCTCCCCGACCAGGGCTCGCTCGCCCACGAATCCCATGACTGCTGGAGGTCCCAGTCTCCACGGCGCGACCACTGCGATGACCCCGAGGGCGACAAGTGCGCGTACTTGCCCACGTACGTGGGGTTCAGGTCATTGCCAGGAGCTGCAGCTGCAGCGGAGGCCGCTCTGACCGCCTGCACGCAGGTGGCAAGCGCTTGCTGCATTGGGTCGGACCGATCTGCATTATTCATGCGGTCATCTGTCTTGAGCAGCTTGCTGGTGCTACGCAACGGCACGTGCTGGCTGATGCGCGCGCACGGGTGGTTGGCCGTCGCGATCGGAGGATCTGCCGCCGAGTAGAAACTCATCAAGTGCGTGCCGACGGGGTCGTCGGGGAACCTGTCGGTGCACGTGCCCACACAAGGCTGCTGGTTGGTGAACAACGACTTCACGCGCTCCACCTCATTGGGTGAGGTAAAAGATCATACAGATCGAACCAATGCGAATTTAGCAGGAAGCTGTGCAAACCATCCAGGACTGCTGGGTCGTGGCGTTCGGTAGCCTTTCCCCCATCCGCCTCGTCACCCCTTCCGTCGTCATGGTCGTCATCACCACGTGTTCCGTTGGGGTTGTAAGGTATGTCGTCCCAAATCCTTCGCTCATATCGTTCGCAACGAACACGTTTCATTTGAGCTCCACCGAAGACCACCGCATGCGCCCGCCACGCGCATGTCGGCACACATCTCACGCGCTCTGTGGCAGATTCACATATATATATATGTATATATCAATGGGTCCCAAAACTATGGGATGTGTTTCTGAGATATCGTGTATCGTCCCTCCACTGCTTCAAACAGTACCCACCAGGTACCCCATAAACCACGTCATGCGAGGCCTCTTGATGGCAGTTTTGGAGCATTGTAAGACATGTTTGGGTCTATATATGTCATCTCTCGGGGCTCTTGGTTGTGGCTTCTTGGCGGTCATCCTGGGCTTCTTGGTAGCCTCTTGGTAGCCTCTTGGTAGCTCTTGCGGCCTGGGCGTCCGGGGGAAGGGGGGGGGGGGGGGGCGTCCGAATTCTCCCACAGGTTACCCTCTTGTAGATGTCGTTGTACGGCTGCCAGTGCCCGTGGAGCCGCTGCTCGATGTCAATGAGGAGGCACATGACCCACTTGATCAGCCCGTCCTCGTTCGCGCGGCGAACGCCAACCGAGCCGAGCCTGCTCACGACGATCTCATCGCGCTCCTCGCAGGTGCCTTGAGGGTTCTCGAGCGCAGTCCAGTCCTTGTTCGTGAGGTAGTTGTTGGGGCACCGCAGGAGCTGATCGCGCGTGGGCGCACCAGCGCCGCGCACTTGCATGGGGCCCCCCGCCGCAGCCGCCGCAGCGAGGGATGTAGACCGTTGGTCACAGGCGTCCTGAAGGGCATCCTTCATGGCGTCCGTCAGAACGCTGTTCTGGATCACCTATGGTATTGCGATCTTATATGCGATCGTATCGGCTGTTGTATCCCCCCTGGTTGCCCTCCAATCGACACTGCGCGAGGCTCCGTGCAGAGCCTCATGCAGAGAGCCTCAAAATGTTTTAAAGCCTTGTCACCTCGGCGAGGTGAAGCGCAAATCCTGCCTGCCACTGCAGGCCAGCGATCTTCAAGCAGAAGCTGTTGCACATGTTCGCGCAGACGTTGAGTGCCTTTTCGCCGCGGCCTCGAACTTCTATCAGACGCGATACGTCCTGGATCTCCTGAACAATTCCCGTGATGGACGCCGCGGTGAATCCCCACCGAGGGGCGGGGGCTCAGCGCGCGGGGAGGGCGCGCGCGGGATGGCCTCAGCGCGCGGGGCAACCCCAGCCCGCGCGCTTGAGCAGAAAAAAAGATGCGGAGATACAGGCATGTATCATTGACCCCATGGTCCACAATGCCGCTCGTCTTGCTTGCTTACGTAACGTAATACGTGCACGTAGCACTGGATGAAGTATACGACGCCAGTGCGCGTGGCACGACTGCGCATGTAGCATTTAACACGCGAGAGAAACATGCGGCACTGCAAAGCTGAACACATCGTTACGAAAAATCGGAAGAGTGCCATCGACACGTAGAGCGATTCGCTAGAGGATGAGGAGTGGAGGGCTGGATTGTTCTGCGCCTGCAGGCAGGCGGATCGGCTCATGCGCTGCATCAGCCGAGGTGCTCTGTAACGCACCATGCAGCGAAGGCCAGCAGCCGCGCCCTCACTTGCCGCCTTTCTTCTTCGACTTCTCCTTGGGGCCGACGGTGCAATCCCCGACGCGCGTTGTCTTCGACTTGTTCTTGACGCCGACTTGCCCCCCGCGAGAGCTGCAGCTGCCCCCGACGTGCTCATTCGTGATTCCGTTTGGTACCACCCAACTTTCGCTGAGGTCGCTCTCTGGCGTCGGCTCGTCCTTCTTGACTGGTGATGTCTCTGCCGTTGTGGGGCCGATGCTGAACATCTGCGGCTGCTTCTTCGCCGAAATCTCCGGAACGTTAGCTTCCTGCATCGCTGTTTGTACCCTCGCCGTCGCTTCCTCGTCGAACTTCTTGATGGCGGATTTGATCTCTTGATCCCGCTCTTGGTCTCGAGCACGAAGCTCCTGTTCCAGAGTCTCGACCTTCTTCTGCAAGTAGTTCGCATGCTCGCACAGACCGCACACCGTCGTGTGCAACGTCTTCACGTTGTTGTGGAGGGCCGCCATGTAAACGCGGTTCTCTGCCTCCTGGCTATGAGGCTCAGGCGGATGCTGCTGGCATCCGTTGGCCGCACTCGGCGGCGGCGGCTTCGCCTTCCGAGGCGGGTCCTTGACAGGAATCCCATCCGAGGCCGAGCTCATCGGCCGCGGGCAGGCTGGAGGCCCGCGCTCGGGAGGCGGGTGCCCGGGGGGCGGTGGCTCTGCCGAAATGGCCCTTGAACCGCAACGCCTGTAGCATCGAGGGCCACCTCGTCGTGCTCACGCTCTTGCTGGAACCCACGTTCCTGGAGCTCGCGCTCACCGAGTCGTTGCTATCGCAAGCCAGATATATGCTACAATGCAACCCAAATCGGCCGAGACGCTGTCCGCAATGCTCCCCAAGACGACATGATTTCCAGACCCAAAACAAACCGCGGCGCCCCGACTGCACATCATACCCTGCGGATCTTACACACTGAACTTCGCAAATGGTGTTGCGTCAATCCTGCGCTCGATTTTGGAATTCCACAATCGAGTGCACACCCCTCTGCACTCGATTTTGGAATTCCACTATCGAGTGCACGTTCATCTGCACTCGATTTTGGAATTCCACAATCGAGTGCACATTCCGCTGCACTCGATTTTAGAATTCCAAAATCGAGTGCATACTGAGATTGCGTCGGGTATGGCTGATCCGAAATGACATCACTATGAAATCTACAATGTTGGTGCTCCGCCGAAGTACCACGTACCTTCCGAAACAGTCTCAAGGTTCATTCAGAAACATCCGAAACGTCTATACTGACACATGTTCACGAGGCAGCTCGGCTCAATACAAGACGGAGCGAACTATACTGAGGAGTCTATGCAGACATAAATAGAACGACAGGGTACGTGATCTAGACGACCGGAGGCGGGCTGGAGACGTCAGGATAACATGGGACGAGGTGGAGAGGATGAGGACATTTCCGCTCCCAGCTGCGAATGCGCGCGGCATTATGATGCTGGTGTGCCCTAGATGGTGGCGCGACAACCGCGCTGCGAGCCGTCGCACCCACAGCCGCGCTGCGGGTCGTCGCCGATGCCGCCGCGACACGAGCGAGCTAGGAAAATAACGTATTTACAGTCCCTATGCCACTGCGCGCTGCGGGGCTGCCCATTGGATGAACATTTGCACTGCTGCTACTACTGTGTGACCTCTCCCCCCTCTGTGATGCTCATCCTGTGGGCCATCAGCCGCAATCAAAACATATAGCATGCACGGCTGGCTCGAGAGCTGTGCGATGGTGCACTTACCCCACATAGCAGAAACAAAACATTATGTGCTTGACTAGTGCAAGGGACCAGTGGTGCCATTATGGTTTTGTTGATGCGCGTTTGCAAGGATCGTTCGATCATGGGCCCGCAACTGGGGCCCGCAACTGGGGCCGCATCTGGAGCATTTGCTCTCGCACCAACTGGGCCCGCAACTGTTCGTCCAATGGGCCGCGCACCTTGCGTGCATGGGTGGGTCGCGCGCGCGTTTCCACGCGCCTCGGCCGACCTATTACATCACTACCGCAAAGTGCGATGGCATTGCATCAGCGGCCGCTCGCATTGGCCAACCTGACGCTGGCCGCGAGCGCGAACGACTGGCCGCAACACGCATAGGCCAACCTATCGCTGGCTGCGATGGGCGGTGGGCTCATCAGAGGCCTGCTCCAGTCTCCATCAGCGCCGCTGCCTCGCTGGCATTTACAATCCACCAATTCAGCTGCTCGTCGGAGATGTTTAAGTCGACTGACATCTCCTTCGCCATCATGATCGCCTCCGCGAACGTCTTCCAATCAGGCGAAGTCTGCCAGCCCGAGCACGCGAGCTGCCCGATGAGCCACTTGTGCGTCTGGGCGCCCTCCTTCGCGGCCACCGCGAGCTCGTGGGGCAAGACGACCCCGCTCTTGATGGAAACCGCTTGGTGCTTCTTCTTGCACCAGTGCGGGATGTGAGCCACCTCGGGGAACGTCTGCGGCGCACCTGGGCGCGACGGGCGCCACGCGTAGACGTTCCCCTCCGACTCGAACTCCTTCTTCTCGAGCGACATGCTCTTCGTGATGTACCACCCGCGGTGGTTCACCTCCATCATGTGGTCGTTGCGCCGCAAGAACAATTGTTCGTTGTTCAGCCAGCTGCTGGAGTTCTGTGGCGGTTCCTGCCTGTAGACCGCGCTGCCGTCGATCATGCCGATCTTCCAGTAGCGCCCAGAAATCAGCATGGTGGCCCCGAACGCACCAGCCACCCACACGATGAACCGCTTGGCACCCTCTCACTAACATCTTACCAACGCTGATGTCAAAACACCAGCGGCGCGATGATGTTAGTAAGAGGGCGCCGAGCGGCACGACCGAGTGGTCTGCGGTGAGCTCGAAGACGGTGCAACCTTCCATGCCACTTTGTTCTTCTCGTTCTGCTCGTCGGACTGAGCATTCTCGATCAGAGAGCCGTCCACGCTGATGATCACCAGATCCGTGAACTTGTCCTCCTGCTGACCTGGCAAGGTCTTGAGCTTCAGGATCTTCATGGCCGCGGTCTCCTGCAGGCGAGCTCGCTTCGCAGCTTCGTCCTCGACGTGGTCATCCATGGCTGCTGGAGCAGGAGGACCTTCCCACTTGGGGATCGGGTGGTCATGACCTGCAGGCTTGGCGCCCTTGCCCTTGCCAATGCCCTTCCTAATCGGCGACGCGGGACTGGGCCCCTTCTTGGTCGGAACCGCGGCGCCAAACATATCAGCGGTGTTCGCCATGACGCCCGGGCCCATCGTGAAAGTAAATGCGCGAGGGGAGCGGCGGGGGGTGGGTGGGGGGGAGCAAACCCTCACTTGACGGGGGTTGCGACGGCAGGCGGAGGTAACTGAGGACGCGGTGACACAGATGCGAAGTGAGTTGTGATCGTCGCAAAACCCGCCAACAGCAGCTTCCTCCCCCCCAACCCATCCCTCCCCCCCACCCCTAGACTGGCGCGCCAAAACAAACGGCCTGCAGGAATCGTGCTAGAAGAGGGCTTCCTGCAAGCCTTGCGCTCCTCACGGTTTTGAGCCACAGCGGCAGCAGTGAACCACTCAGTGGTCGCAGGTCCATCGGACAAGTCTTGGAGGACATGTTCAAATGGCGTGGACCGAAAGGTCGATGGCGAATCCATCGTTGATAATTGCACTGGTAGCCGTGATGATAACTGCATCGCGATATATCTATGCATGTATATGAATAGCGGATAACTGCGTGGACCGAACGTTCGATGGACTGAGCAGTCGATGTCGTGGACCGAAAGGTCGATTAAATTGCGTTTTGCGTCGAACACCCCCCCCCCCCCCCCCCTGTCAGTCATGCGGCGCGTCCGCGGGCGCCTCGGCATCTGAGAGGCCGCTCAAGTCCACGGGCTCAGCCTCGCTCGGCGCCCCCACCTCCACGGCGAGCTTCTTGCCGCGGTCCTTGTGCTACCAGCCGTCTCCGCATCTCCAGACGCCCTTCTGACCCGGACTGCCCCGCACCCTACTTTTTTGTCAAGTCCTCGGCGGCGAGGTGCTGTGCAATGAAGCGCGCCACCGCCATGATGTTCTCACTGGTGGCCTTCACGACGACGTCGTCCGCTTGGCTCGGACTCTGCAGCATCTCGACGCAGACGTCGTCCGTCAAGCTGACGCTGCAGATCTCGCGGCGACTGCAAATGTCGGCAACTGAACTTCTCGACGGTCTCTGCGCCCGTGAAGTCTTCACAGGCGTGGTGTACTTGTCGACCCTTTCGTCTGCAAGGAGCTTTGAGCTCGCCGCGGCCTGATGAGTCTGCTTCACGAGCAGCTTCGGCCTTGCATGTTGGCGCAACTCCTTGAGCATCATGTGCCCTGCAGCGTCGCTGAGGGAGGCCTTCTTGAGATTCACGCCGTCCAAGCACAGGCCCCCCAGGCGAGCGACCGTGCGGGTCAAAGGGCGATCGCGCGGGTTAACCACCACGCACGCGTGTGTCCCGCCTCTCGCCATCACCACTTTTGGACTCCACTTCGAAATCCGACTGCCACCAGCATGCGCGGTGACCGTGACCGACGTCTGAATAGTAACGTCCAGGTCCATGCTTGCAAAGCAAGACAAGCTCTCCCCTGCTGCCTTGACCCCAAACGGCTATTATATTGGATGAGGATGAAACCCTGTTTGCAAGAGCGACAGCTCAAGAGCGACAGCTCATGCCGACACAGCCCCGGATCATATGTGATCATTATGTTTTGTCATGCGCTGACACCCCGCATGATTCCCACTCTCGCCTAAGCGCCTGCTGCGCAGCAAGCAAGAGCGTCAGCCGTGCAAGCAAAAAATCGCGCACCACTGGCAGACGTCATCGGTCTCGGCGCGCGTGCACCCCTGGCGGAACATATTCTCCTTCCGCAACATGCGTGTTGCATGGCGTTGTTTGAGCTTGCCTGCTGCACGCGACTTCTCCATCCACACTGTTGTAGGCCTCCATGACTTGCTCACGCCGACCTCCCTGTAAGCCAGCTCCACAACGACGGTGCCCCACGTCACCTTCTTCCTGACACTTGTCGCATCCATCTCCAACGACGAATCAACGTCCATTGAAGTGTCCACATCGAGAATGGGATGCGTATCGACCTCCATGGGGAGTGTGCCACAATACAAGGGCGCAGACGAAAATGATTTGAACCACAACGTCTGCGTCGCGGCGATAGGTCTGTGCCCGACAACAATCCGCACTTACGTGACGCTGAGCATTCGCTCACGGGTTGCGTGGGTCATTGGTGCTATACGCACATTGCTGTCTTATGGGTGCATCGGGGGATCCTTCTGCATGCGAGCCATTTGTGGGCCAAGATCTTTCAGGTGCAGTTCGTGCCGACGTCGAGCATGAGTGACGTGCATGGCTATGCTCTCCCCTTCGTCGCCTCCGTGCAGCAGATCATCGACGCTGCAAATAACGGGAAGATCCCAGCGATCACAGCTTACGAGGACGTATGTGAGATGCTCGTCAAGGACCACATCGTGAGCGAGCAGAAGCTCCTAGCAGACGACATTCTCGTGCACCCAGCCAACAGGGGTAAGCTCGGGCTGAACGCATACAACGTTCGCAAGAACCTCTCGGAGATCGTCAACGTCGGCTGCGACCCCAAAGAACTCAGCAAAGCGGCCTGCTTCCAGATGAACCCATTCGACCCCATGAAGAGCAGCCAGAAGCAATTAAGGACGCTTCGCGTCTCCCCGCCAGCCGACCCCACGCCAGGTACTCGAACGAGGAGCGCCGATCATCGGCAGTTGTTATTCTCCTCTTCCTTATCCTCCTCCTTCTCCTCCTCCCTCTTTCCCCTTGCTGGCGTCTTGAAGGAGGGGGGGAGGCGTGCAGGAGGGAGAAGGGAGGAGGAGGAGGAGAAGGAAGAGAAGCAGGAGGAGGAGGAGGAGGAAAAGGAGGAGGAGGAGGAGGAGGAGGAGGAGGGGAGAGAAGGGGGGAGGAGGAGCAGGATGATGATGATGAGGAGGAGGAGGAGGGAGGAGGAGAGAGGAGGGAGGAGGGATGAGGGAGGGGGACAGGGGGGGAGGGAAGGAGGGAGGGAGGGAGGGAGGGAGGGCGGTTCACAGAGGAGGGAATGTTTTAACATTCTATGGTATGTTCTACGTTTGGTCGCATCGGCCGAGGCGCCCCGACCGCATTGGGACGTCTCGTGCTATCTTGAGCAATCATGGAAGCTATCTTGCGCTCCCCATCGTGGGCGCCGTCTTGGGCAATCTTGGACACTCGCTGGGCGCCCCCCCCGCGCCAATGGGAAGGCGCCGCCGGCACGCCCCCCCCCCCCCCCCCCCCCCCCCCCCCCCCTCTCCCACCCACCCCTCCCGACGGAGGGGCAGAAGCGGACGCTCTCCAAACCATCGGCGCTCATGAGAGCGATGCGGATTCAACGTCGACTTGTGCGAGCGAGCCAACGGGCTCCTGATGCATCCCACAGGGCGCGAGTCGTACCTGAGCGCGGGCACAGGGCACTTCACCGCTGCCATCCGAGCTTGCAAGGCTCATTGCAGAACGCCGTTCAAGAGCATCGCCAACGCAGATGGGCCCCTGTCAGAGGCGCTCGGTCACCGTGACAAGCGCTTGGGTAGTTGCATGGACAATGGCTGGGTCTGGCGAGTGTTCCCTTGGCAGTGCGAGGTGGCGTGGCCGGGACTGCCTGACCTGTGCCAGCGGGCGCTGGACGCTGCGCACGGGGTGAGCTCAAGGAGCACAGAGCTCGAGACCATGGCTTGGCTCTCAGACCTGTCTGCAGACAAGGGCGATGCCATCAACGCGGCCAAGTCGGCTTCGCCCATGTGTGCATCATACATCGAGGCCGTCGTCCGCTTGGTTGAGCTCATCAGCGGTGGCCCTGGTCAACGCCAAAATGGGGCGGTCGCGTCGTCGACGGTCGTTTCGTAAATGCGCCGCCCCGTCTCTATAACCCGCCCTCTCTAACTCGAAACGCATTCGTCGACCTATTGGTCTCGGTCCTCGGAAGGTGGCGCTGGAGCACCAGTGCCCCACTTCCTGGACAGGTTCTCAAAGACGTTCGGAGAGAACAAGATTCTCGGAGAGGGGCTCGCCATTGCAATTGCGACTGCGGAGCTCAACAAGTGCGACGCTGTACCGTTCTTTCGCGCCGCCCTCGTGGCCACGAACCTTGTGTCGTTGAAGGTGGTGGACGGCGTTGCGAAGCTGATCTACAAATCTGACGTTGACAAGTCAAAGGGCAAGGGCGAGATCCTGAAGAGGAACACCACGCGCAAGGACGCGTGGAAGCTTGCCGACAAGGCGATGATCCACCAGACAGACTTCGACATGACGGTCGGCAAGTTCATGGTGCGAGCTGCGCTCTTCCATTTCGGTAGGCAGCACCAGTCGCCAGAGAACAAACAATACGAAAGCATGGATGACATCAAGTCACGCTTTGCGATTGACCTCAAGACTGCAGCTGGCGACTCCGTCGTGGACCTCGGCGACTTCGCCGTGAAGACCGACGACTCCAAGGATGCCGCCGCTGCAGGGTCTGATGCGGCTAAGATAGGCGCCATGAGTTTCGACGAGATGGCTTCGCCCGCACACGTCCTGAAAGGCAAAGCTGGCATCGAGATCGGTTCTCAACTGAGGGGGGGGAACATCCCCGACGGCTTCTTATTCGAGGTAAAGGCCACCAACGATGGTGGCAAAGCGTTGCTGACTCAAGTCAAACCGTTCGATGACGATGACTGCATCAAGGTCGAGGTCGACTACAAGGTTTTGGGCTACGACTGGAAGGTCGTCAAGGGGAAGGGAAGCTTTGCGTGCGCTTCGAAGGACATCAGCTCTGAAGTTATAGAGGATGATCGGCTGCGGCCCATTGTTTTCAGGAGCCTCCGCGAGGAGCACGCAGCCTTGATGAAGAGTGGCAAAGCATGCCATGGGCCGCCCAAATTGCACATGAGGAACCCCTTCGGCATTGCGACGGGGGAAGACGTGGGCAAGAACATATTCAAGTTCACTCCGACCGCGCCCATGCAGAACATCCTCTGCACTAAACCTAAGGGCGCTGAGAACAATGCGGCGACCGTCACCATCGGTGGAAAGGCCTTGTTTGCCACAAGCGTCCGCAAGCCCGTTGATGACACGGCGCGTGCTTTCTTTGCACCGCGCTGGTGGGTGGAGTCCACGCCGATCGAGGAGAAGGCGAACATGAAGTTCGTAAGGGTCGTCGGTGCCGACGGCGTGAGCTACCCTGCGTTGCAGAACTTCAAGCCATTGAAAGTGCACGAGAGACTGTGCTACTTCAAACCTAAGGACATCAAGACAGCTTTGCAAAACGCGGCGGTGATTCGATCTGCTGTCGACCACGGCGAGAAGGGCAACGCTGGCGAGATTGGCAAGGGCAAGGGCATGAACAAGCGTGGCAAGGGCACCGAGGGCGGCAGCGCGAGCGGGGGCAAGCCCGAGAAGAAGGCCCGCAAGGTTTGAGTCCATTCACGTTGCGGTGGAAAAAAAACAATGGCTGGTGCACTGATGTACTGCATCTCGAGCAGAAGCTCCTCAAAGGCCGTCGGCCGCCCATCGAACAATGTGTTCCAGGCTCTCGCTCTGTGTCAATATACGAATGCATTTACGCGCTCGCACATGCGACATATGTTTACGAGCGCCACTGTAAACAATGAAATCCACCATCCGCGAGCCATGGGCTCTGCGAGCCAAGGCTCCATGGGGAGATGTTATCGGTGAGCCATGGGCTCCATGAGCCATGAGCTCCAGACCCGCAACGTTCATCCATTGCAACGCAACCTACATATAATGACGAGGCGTCTCACGCAAAAAGAATACATGCAGCCATGTGCATTTGCATGCAACTAAGTACAAACAGCGATGGCGATGAGCCACGAGCTCCATGAACAGACGCGTGAGCCATGAGCTCTGCGGAGCAACGCGCTCCAAGCACAATGAGCTTCATGAGCAAATGCTCTCGTGCTCCGAGACAGCCCAGACGAAGACGAATGGCGCGCACCCAAATTCAGTTTTCCCATGAGGCTCGCTCTGTAATTCCCCCCCCTCGCGGTGCACCTGCACGCGACGACGGCAATCGGAAATTGAGCACATGCATGAGCTAGAAGCTCAATGAGCCATGATTGAGCCGTGAGCTCTGCAAGATGCTCCGAACCTCCCCTTGCAAACGGACGACGGCGGATGATTACGTGACGGCGATGATTGGTGCAAATGTTTTGCACGTGGTTCCGAGCGCCCCCTCTCCCTGAACAAATGTTCAAACCGAACATTCGAGTTGCTGCGAATGAGCAAAAGATCTCCGCGCGCGACACGTCACTGCAGACGACGATGACGCTTTTACATGACATCGGCGCGCGGCAAAACGGGCATTCGAATAATACCCGCCATCCTGGCACATGCACTTGTCGTGACACTTGCCGTGCAGTGCAACGACTCGATAAATAGCCCGACCCTCATTGGGGAAGTGCCAACGCACAGGGCGGTGAAACCAAAGCAAAGAATATTAGCCCGACCATCATTGGGGAAGTGCCAACGCACAGGGCTGTGAAACCAAAACAAAGAATATTAGCCCAAC